AGAGAGACAGAAAGTGAAAGAGAGAGGGAAAGAAAGCACCCCTCACACGCATTGGGAGAATAACCACACTGTAATCCCTTCTCCTCCACTCTCGTCTCAGAAAGTTGGACAAGCATGCACATGCACCTGCCATGTTTTTAAAGCCACTGGGTCTGGGACTTGAACCACACAATCGATCATACGGGATACAGCCACCTTAACTCCCACACCACCTGACTAGCCCAACACCAGGTTTAAATACAAGTTGGCACTGCTGTAGTTAGTGTTGTGGTGTCTGGACTGACCCAGGCAGTGCTGACACAGTGAACAGCAGGGGAGGCAGCGCTGGGGTGGAGGGACTGGTGCTACCACTTGGGAAAATGAAGCTGAGGACGCACACTCACAGCCCAGCTAGCCCACCCTGCAGTGTGCACTCACAGAAATGGCAAGTGCTAGAAGGTCCACAGCACTATTCAGATGAGGATCAAACTGGAATCCTCCCAAATGCCCATTCTGGAGGGTAAGCAACTGGTGGCAATCCATACTGTCACAAAGAATGGGCTGCAAAGCCACAGCTGAGGTTTGGATAGTGGTTTGTACCCCAGAGGTCCATGTTTTGGAAGCTTGTTCCCCAATGTAATGACGTCGGGAGGGACTGAGACTTTTCAGGGCCAGAGCCTCGTGGGAGGCACCACCCAACTGGTTGAAGTATGGGAGGAACAACACAGGGAGGAAGAGTCTATTCATGTCTCTTTGGGGGGGGTGCGCTGCCCTCCCTTCTGCTTCTGCCAGCCATGTTATGGTGTAGCACCACAACTTGCTACACCAACCTAGTTGGCCTCAGGCTTTTAGACTTACCAGCCATCAGAATCACGAGTCAAATAAACATCTATTCTTTTTAATTTTTTATGTATTTTTTAAAGAATTATTTATTTAATTTTATTCATTCATTCATTTATTTTTAATTTGAAAGAGAGAGACACAGAGAGAGAGAGAGAGGAAGTTAGAAAGCAAGCCACCAGATCTGAGACTGGAACCACGGTCAGCCAGGGGTGTCCAGCACCTTAACCACCAGGGCACCTGCTGGTCCTGGTTTTTTTTTTTTTTTTTTGCCACAGGGCATGTGTGCTCACTGGAGAGAGACAAAGAGAGAGAGAAAAAAAGTGAGAAATTACCCTCCGGGGGGATAGCCACACTGCAATCCCTTCTCCTCTATTCTCATCTTAGGATTTGGAGCATGCGTACACATGTGCCCAGCATGTTTTTCAAGCCACCAGGTTGGGACTTGAACTGCGTAGTCAGCCGGTCAGCCATGTGGGATCCAGCACCTTAACCACCATGCCATCTGCTGGCCCCAACCTCTATTCTTTTTTTTTTTTTT